TTGCGACTGCCGATAACCAATCGGTCGGTACAAGTGCTGGACCCGACCGGAGCGCCCGTCAACCAGACCTATGTGTTTCCCATACCGGCGCCCGTATTGCGGCTCAAAGAGAGGGTCAGCGAAGCGGTAGAGGAACTAGTGTTTGAAGCGTCGGTACCGGCACTTGGGTTTGCCACTTATATACTAAAACGTCAGGACACAGAAGATTCCCTAAGCGCACCGGTAGTGCGTACAGTGGACCGTGACTTTTCGGTGCAAACCCCCGGCTTTAATGTATTTTTTGATGGGAACGGACGGCTACAGGAGCTGCAGTTCCGTGACTCGGGTCGGACGGTGTCATTGCGTCAAGAGTTTGCGTACTACCGGTCCTTTGGGGGCAACAATTATGGCCCATACCGGGCGTCCGGGGCCTACGTGTTCCGACCCGATCGAGACGAGGCCGATGTGATCCACCCCTCGGATGGCAACTACAGGGCGCGAGTGGTGGAGAGCCCGGTGCTCACCGAAGTGCATCACGATATCAAACATGACTTGTCGCAAGTGATACGTATAGACCACCGAAGCGATGCCATCGAGTTTGACTACACGTGCGGACCCATATCGGTGGCCGACATGTGGGGCAAAGAGGTTGTGTTCCGGTGGCAGACAAACCTGACCACTGGTGGCAAGTTTTACACCGATAGTAATGGACGACAAACGATGCGTCGGCGCCGCAACTATCGGCCCACGTATAACCTGACAATCACCCAACCGGTGTCGGGTAACTACTATCCGGTGACCAATTGGATAGCCATCAGGGACGAGGCGGCCGGTCTGCAATTAACTATGCTAAATGATAGGGCACAGGGAGGCACAGGATTTAGAGAGGGTCAGATCGAGTTGATGGTTCACCGGCGTATACTACACGACGATGGGATGGGCGTCAAAGAACCCCTCAACGAACCGGGTGTTGATGGCAATGGTCTGGCTATAAGGGGTCGCTTTTGGTTACAATTGGCAACACTTGCCTCAGCGACTGAACTGCACCGGGAGGCCGCCAATAGGCTGATGATGGAACCGGTGATGACGTTTAGACGTGTGGCTGAAGAGCCAACTTACTATCATAAAGAGCACAGGACCAACTACTCGGCACTGTATAGCCCGCTACCCCGTAATATACATTTACTAACACTGGAGCAATGGGCGAATCGGACCTTATTGTTACGTTTGGAGCACTTTTATCAGTGGAATGAGTCGCGCGAGTGGTCAACGCCGGTGAGGGTTGAGCTCCGGGATCTGTTCCGCGAGTTTGTGGTGTACGACGTTTTGGAGACCACTTTGAGCGCCAC